TACAAATATTATTGTATACATGACTTGTGACATTTTGTTTCAGTGTCCCAACAATGCTGGTTCTACGTATTACAACTATAAGCATGCTCATAGTGTAGTATTAATGGCCATTTGTGATGCACACTATGTATTCCGTTTCGTTGATATCGGAGCGTACGGACGACAAAACGATGAAGGTATTTTCAGCAACAGTGCTATTGGCAAGAACTTTAATATAAACGTCATGAATATACCGAAGCCATCAGCTGTTGCAGGAGGGCGAATTTTGCCATACTGTCTCGTAGGAGACGAAGCATTTCCCTTAAAACCGTATTTACTTCGCCCTTATCCAGGCAAGAAAGGACTGACATCGGAACAGGACATTTTCAACTATCGGTTAAGCCGTGCGAGAAGATTTATCGAAAATACTTTCGGTATATTAGCTAGCCAATGGCGAATATATCGCAAACCAATTATTGCATCCCTAGAGAATGTTAAATTGATGGTGCAGGCGACGGTTTGTCTGCATAATTGGATCCGCAAAGACAACATTGATAAAAATACATACGTTTCTGCGGGTATGGTGGATGAAATTAATCCTGATGATCCAAGTAGTTCCACATTAGGTTCTTGGCGGAGAATCTTTGAAGATGGCTGCGCTTTTCGAGATATCGGTCATTGTGGTTCGAATACCAGTGCGCGAAACTGCATTCAGATGCGCAATGAATTTTGTAATTTTTTTTTTAATGAAGGACAGGTGTCTTGGCAAAATAACAGACACAAATAAAGAACAAGTTGAATATAACAGTTAAATATAATCAAACGTTTTAACACCAATAGGGTTATTTTCAATGTTACAGTAAAATTACGATAATGTTCGCAAGAATACATAATTTCTCAAAATGTCTTCATATCTTATGTTGGAAACGTTTGAATATCATATTTACGTATGGTTTATTTATTTTTTGATTAAAATTTCTTTGTTACTAAACTGACTCGTAGCCCTTCAACTGTCGAATTTGTTTTATACTTGTAAAGTCTTATTATTGAAGTTACAAATAAAAAATATTCACAAAATTTATTATATTATTATTTATTTTATTATTTAACATTTATAAATATATTATATAAGATTATCACAATGTTATCACATTTTTATTGATAAATTGAGCAGTAGAAAAATTACATCCTATGTAATTTCACGCAGCGTCAAAACGCGCTAGAAAAAAATGCGTGAAAATGTTAAAAGTTCTAATAAAGATTTAGAATGTAACTACGAGGATGATTCAAGTCAAACCGAGATTTTTATTTTACTCTTATGAACATAAGACAGAAAAAAATTAAAACTAAAACTAAAATTAAAACTGGCCTTAATGGTATTGGTGATAATGTTATCACAATGCTATCACATTTTGATTGAGAAATTGAGCAGTAGAAAAATTACATTCTATGGAATTTCACGCAGCGTCAAAACGCGCTAGAAAAAAATGCGTGAAAAAGTTAAAAGTTAAATTTTCATTTTCTGGAAGATTTCCTACAACAAAGTCTTCCTCATTTGGTATTTCTGTCTCCTCGGTGCTTTCCTCTGCATTATTTGGCATCTCCAAAACATTTTTTCAATGCCATCTATCAGGCTTCTACATAAAATTTTTCCATCGTCTGCACATACAAAACTTAGCAGTATTAACACATGTATTACATTTTTAACAATAGTATGCATTCCACTGTAAAATACATACCACACTGTGGATAAAAATAATGCTGCTCGTCCATATAAAATTGTGTGAAAGAATCTAAACATTGATGGCTTCGAATTTCAACGGCATTGCAAATCATTTCGCACAACCCACACGTATATACAATTTCCATTGACTATAAAAAGCATAATATAATGAAAATGACTCGATCGGCGTCGAAACGTTTGTTATTTATTATCATGTTTATTTTTATCATTTAAATTAAAGTCCTATCCCGCGAACCGAGATATTAAGCATTAAGGGGATGCTGGAGCTACGGCTCAACTCCATCAAGGTCGATAATATAGATTTGCTGAAATTTACATCAGTACGCTTACGCCCTCTGGGAGCCACACAGCGCATTTCCACATATCGCATGCCTACCACATAGCTCCTACTCACTCTAACGAGTGTGTTCGAGCATTTGACGCGACAGCTAGAATAATATCGCGTTATAAGAGATATATACCCAGTACTGCGCGATTCATATCTAATAGCGTTTTCGATTGGGCAAAATTTAGTGCGCACCAGTGCGCACTCAGTTCACACCAACACTGGACGAGTTCCATAGGTTGCACTGAATAGTGCAAGTTCAAAAGAATACGCCAAGATTTTCAGTGCTAAAGCTGAAACTCATTTTTGTTCACTTTGAAGCAATGTTCAACAAAATGTTACAAAACTACAGTAAAAGATATTAAGAGTAGGGACAAGACCCC